GACTTGTGCAGTGTTATTTTTCCCTAAAACTGGAAGATGCCTGTGCGGGACTTCTTTTAAAGTGGGGAGACTGGTGCACAACAGTCACCACACTATCCTTGACAGGTAGAGGACTTGAAACCAATGGCCTGGGCACCATGATGATGGGAGATCCTCTATTTGCTGCAGCCTTCATCCACCTTCACAGCCATTGTAACATTACACAACAGTTTCACCTCCATTGTGCAGTTATCTTCCGTCTGCTCTGCTGTTGTCTGGAATCTAGCCCTTGATCATTCTGCCATGGGTAGCCCTAAGGGAATACATGACTCCAGGCAGCATTGCTTTCGGGGTCATTGAGACACGCAAGCCTCTCCACCACTACAAGGTGGTGGTCCATGGAGAGGAGTGTACAGTAACTCCTCACTTAAAGTCGTCCCGGTTAACGTTTCGATGTTAAGTTGCTGATCAATTAGGGAACATGCTCGTTTAAAGTTGTGAAATGCTCCCTTCTAATGTCATTTGGCAGGCGCCTGTTTTGTCCACTGCTTGCAGGAAGAGCAGCCCGTTGCAGCTAGCTGGTGGGTGGTTGGAACCAGGGTGCACCAGCAGCCCTCCCTATCAGCTCCCCACTCCCCTAAGTTCCCTGTGCAGCAGCTGCCTGCAGTTCAGCTGTGTCCCTCCCCTCCACTGCCATGTGCTGCTCCTGCCCTCTACCTTGGAGCTGCTCCCAGAGACTTCTGCTTGCTGTACGGGGGGAGGGGGGAAGAGGAGGGCTAATGTCAGGGTGTCTCCCCCTCCCCCTGCTCCTGCACTCTGCTTACCCCATCTTCCATAGAGCGGGGGGAGGGGGAGACACTATGGAGGGAGCTTCTAGACAGTAGCTGTTGTCTCAGGAGATCTCAGCAAGCTGACTTAATTAACAGGGCAGTGTACTTAAGCCTGGGGTCAGCTACTTAAAGGGGAAATAACAAGGAGTTTGGTGGCATCTTAAAGACTAACAGATTTATTTGGGCACAAGCTTTCGTGGGTAAAAACCTCAGTTCTTCAGATGCATAGAGTGAAAGTTACAGATGCAGGCATTATATACTGACACATGGAGAGCAGGGAGTTACTTCGCAAGTGGAGAAGCAGTGTTGACAGGCCAATTCAATCAGGGTGGATGTAGTCCACTCCCAATAATGGATGAGGAGGTGTCAATTCCAGGAGAGGAAAAGCTGCTTCTGTAATGAGCCAGCCACTCCCAGTCCCTATTCAAGCCCAGATTAATGGTGTTAATGGTCTGTTACAGATTTAAGTCACTATCATTGAACAAAAAAACTTCAGAAACAGACTTCAAAGAGAAACAGCAGAACTAAAATTCATTTGCAAAATTAACACCATTAATTAATTTTACTTTTAATTTCTGAAATGTTGTTTTTATGATTGGTTTTTACGGAATTCCTTGCTTTCTATATAATTCAGGAATTAACTGGGCAGGTTCTAACTGGAGCTGACGTATTGGCAGTTGGTCAGTGCTTGTAAGCAAAGAGAGGGCTTTTCCTCAACTACTAATAATTTCAGAGAGCCAAAAGCTGAAGAGCTTGAGAGAGTTTTCCACCTGAGCTGGAATCTCAAAAGTAGGAATTCTGTGATAATATCAAAAAAGAGTTATAAGAAGTAATTTCTCTTACTTCCTAGGAATAAACTGCTTTCTATCAAGGCCATATACAGCATTTCATTCATTGCATGTGGGAAAATACCAATCAAAAGATGTGGAGGAAATTCTCTGATTTTGTTGTGTGTTGATGCTTATGTAAAATGGGCCTTGTTTAACATTTTTAAATTAACCTGATTATGAAATCTTTGTTTTTGAAGCAGTCTTTCGAGAAATGACAATTTGCCTAAACTTCTGTGGCTTTGTTTACTTGTATTTTGAATAAATGACTTAAGTCTCCTAAGTAATTACTGGGTTTTCAGAAAAAAGTTGCTCTGCATTTTAATCAACCATGGTTTTAGATTTCTGAATTTCTGTGATTCCATAAGTGTTCTCAGGGACAAAAAATGCGGGAATACTACTTGTACAGTTAGATTTTTGTTAATTTTACAGATCCTTCAGCTGATGAATTAAGGAGGTTAATGATGTTGCATGGTGGCCAATACCATGTGTACTATTCCAGATCCAAAACAACGCACATCATTGCCACAAATCTTCCAAATGCCAAAATAAAAGAACTGAAAGGGGAAAAGGTGGTTCGACCAGAATGGATCGTAGAAAGGTAAAATTAGAAGGATGGTGATCTGACTGTTTAGTTTTGCATTTGGTACATTTCAATGGGAGCAGGCTTCTCCCTTTAAAAAAAGAAAATGTCTAGAAAAACTACATTCTGAATGGTTGTATTAGGATAGATTTATGGTTTTATTTTTAATTGAGTATTGTATTTTTATTACAATCCAATTTGTTTTTCTTAGTTTATCAGACCACTCACTAGAAAAATGGCAATTTCTGAAAAAACAATCTTGCATATTTGCATGATGGCCTCAAAACATAGAAAAGTAGATCTTGAGGGGGCTTCGAGAGGCCATCTAGTCCATTCCCCTCATACAGGGGCAGGACCAACTATACCTAGACCAGGGGTCGGCAACCTTTCAGAAGTGGTGTGCCAAGTCTTCATTTCTTCACTCTAATTTAAGGTTTCGTGTGCCAGTAATACATTTTAACATTTTTAGAAGATCTCTTTCTAGAAGTCTGTAATATATAACTAAACTATTGTTGTATGTAAAGTAAATAAGGTTTTTAAAATGTTTAAGTAGCTTCACTTAAAATTAAATTAAAATGCAGAGCCCCCCGGACTGGTGGCCAGGACCCGGGCAGTGTGAGTGCCACTGAAAATCAGCTCACGTGCCGCCTTTGGCATACATGTCATAAGTTGCCTACCCCTGTGCTAGACCATCCCTGACAGCTGTTTCTCTACCCTGTTCTTAAAAACCTGCAATGATGGGGATTCCACAATCTCCCTTTGTAACCTATTCCAGTACTTAATTGTATAGTTAGTAGGATTTTCCTAATATTGAACCTAAATCACCCTTAACACAGATAAAGCCGATTACTTCTTGTCCTGCCTTCGGTAGATGTGGTGAACATCTGATCATAATTATCTTTATTACAGCCTTTAATGTATTTAGAGACTGTTACCATATTTTCTCCTCAGTCGTCTTTTCTCAGGACTAAATTTACCCAGTATTTTAACCTTTTCTCATAGGTCATGTTTTCTAAATCTTTTATCATTTTAGCTGCTCTCCTCTGGGTTCTCTCCAACTTATGCACTTCTTTCTTGAAGCATGGCACCCAAAACTGGACACAGCCCTCCACTTGAGTCCTCACCAGTGCCAAGGAGAGCAGAACAATTTTGATGGAGTGATATATTAATTCTGCTATTCTTTTTCTCTTTCTCCGCATGGTATAGATATCTTGCGTTTTAATCTGTCATGTAAGACTTATGAATATGGTGTAACTTGAGTGTGTGAGCTAGTCCTTTTTTGTTTGGCTATCGTCAGATATTGTCTAAGAGTAATCTCCGTTAGCCACCATTAAATAAATGAAAAACAGTTTACCTTACATAAAATATCTGATTGTTCTTAATAATCTGTCAGGGTACGTAGACTTGAATAAGCAGAAATACTATTTTTTCATTTTAATTGCCAGTGTGGATTGATATAAATCACCAATTTTAATCATGATTTAAATCATCAAGCAGGAAACTTTAAGTAATCAATGTCAATCATGTTTTGTATTGGTACTTTAGTTCTTAAAGGTTGATTGTCATTGGTTGATAATAATTAAAACATGTTGAGTTGCCACTAAATATAGCCTTTACACTTCTACTAAAAATACCCCTAACTAAATCTTAGGTGCTTGGGACGGGGAGGTGTGCTCCAGCAGACACTGGTGCTGGGTGGGAGAGTGCTCCAGCGATTGCTGCTGCTCCTGGGGGAGGGGGCAGCCCGAGGCCCCGTCATTGTTGCTTAGGGGGCTCTGGCTCGGGGCCCTGCCACCGCTGCTCCGGGGCAGCGCTTGGGACCAGTTGCCTGGGGCTGCCGGCGCAGCAGCTGGTATGGCTGGCCCCAGGACTGCCCCAGCTGCTCGGGTGGTTCTGGGGTCAGCCACACCAGCCACTGCAGCTGCGGAAGTCACGGAGGTCCTGGAAAGTCACAGAATCCATGATTTCTGTGAAAGACTCGCAGCCTTACTCATAAGGAGTGAAAGTTCCCTCACCCTGACATGCCACCCATGAGCCTTAGTAGGTTTTTTTAACCAACTGCTGCCTGTCCGATGGTGTGTCAGGCTCATTTGGGCTGACAAGCCTAGTAGGCTTGTTGAACACTGAAGTGCCCATTAAAGCTTGTCAGGGTTCAAAGATGGAGGAGGTAGTCCTTGGGAGTGAAGAACCCCAACCCTGTGTCCCCTATATCTTTTGATGTTCCTTGGGCCCCATGCAAAGTAGGGAAGGGGTTCCTCACTCCCTATTTATCCCCTGGCTTGGGAGTCAGGGAGGAACAGGCAGTGCAGTGGATGAAAGTGGAAGGGACAGCCAAATGCTCCAATTTTGCTTTATTGCCCTACGCCTTCTTCCAGCTTCGTTATTTCTGCTTACTTGCCCCCTCCCCCCTCCTTGTTTCTGCCTTCCTTTAGCTATTAGGAGGATAGCCCCAATCCCATGAATGTTATGCCAACTGGAAGGGAGCTCAGTCCTGTGTAGTTCCTGTTTTATGCAAGAAGTTCTCACTTCTTGGGAGGACTACAGATTCAGGACTCCCCCTCAACAGGATGATGGGAGGCAACTGGTTAACAGGAGATTTTCTGGCTAGTAGACCAACAGGCCTGTTCCTTCCCTTCCCTCTCCTCCCCTATTTCTGGTGTCTATATTTTTAAAAGTATATTGAAAAATCGGAGAAGATGCAGAAAAGAGCCACACAAATTATTCAAGGGCTGGAGAAGGAGCTCAATCTGTTTATTTTGTCAAAAAGATTGAGAGATGACTTGATTAATGTATAGACACCTTCATGGGGGAGAAAATACTGGGTACAGGAGTGCTCTTTAATCTGAGAGCGGAGAAAGTCATAACAAGAACTATTGGCTAGAAGGTAAAGACAGATAAATTCAAATTAGAAATAAGTCATTAATTTGGAACAGTGAGGGTGGTTAACCAGTGGGATAAACTACCATTTCCACCTCTTGCTATCTTCAAGACAGAATGCCTTTCTAGAAAGTATGCTTTAGTCAAACAAGTAACGAGGCTCAATACAGGAGTAACTGGATGAAGTTTAATGGCCTTTGATATACAAGTCAGGCAGGGTAATCTAATAGTCCCTTCTGGGCTTCAACTCTACATATCAGTGAGAGTTCTCTGACAGTTTGGATCAAAGCTTTCAAGTTCTGACGTAAGCAGAATTAACCCTAAACCTAATTCAATCTGATCGTTCTAAGGGAAATAGTGAAGATACCTAAGAAGAGAGATTCTAACCACATCTTTTTAAAGACTGGAAATTTGCCAACGTGATACATGTCTTTTTAAAAAAAAAAAAAGTTAGCCAGGAGATTCCAGAAATTAGTCTCGTGAGACTCCCCTAATTTCCAGGGGGAACCTCTGCTCCTATTTTGTAATTAAGCATAAAGTAAAATACTAGAATAAATATAAACTGGTACAGTCAAAGCAATTCAAGTTCTTTAAGGGACATTGTCTCTCTCCAACATATTAGTTCTTTGAAAAACGTAATAACATGGAAAATACTGACTGGAAGGACATAATATACTTGGCTTTTCAACCGCTTTTAATAAGACTTCTCATAAGAAACAATTAGAAAATAATGACGGATAAAGGAAATATTATGACAAGATTAAAAATTGGTTAAGTTGTGTGTTTAAAAAAAAAAAGTCAACGTGAACAGTTCTTTTTAGTAAAGACCAGTTAATAGTAGGTTGAAATTAAGTGTTGATACTGTTAATATATTAAGGCTTGATCCTTTGAGGCACCTAGTGACTCCAGTGTGAAATGAGAATGCAGCAGCTTGAAAGATCAGAATCTTAATTGGCAGAGAAAGTAAGTAGAAAACTGAAGTTTGATAACTTAATTGTTTAGATTAGTAAAATCTTCAGGGGGTTGTGAGTCATTTCTAGGTAGATTTTAACACACAGGAATTGAGGAGCATCATTGCGGATGAAATATATCAGGTATAAATGTAAAGCAATACACGAGCTGAAATTATCAAAACACCTCAGCAATTGAAGGAAACAGGATGTTTCAGCACATTAAAATGGATGTTGTATTATAATACAAATTTTGTTTTACAAAATAATGGTACATCATCTGAAAAACTGGAGGACATCTCAAAGGAAAGATAGAGTTCAGGACATTTAAAACCTCTGCTCTATCTATCTATCTAGAGAGAGAGCGCAGAGGTTTTAAAGGTCCTGAATATGGTGATACAAAAATGGTTAGTGGTTTTAAATATGAAAATAGATTGTAAAAATTAGAGAGGAATTGCAGTATTACTAAGAACACAGTGGAAATTGACAACGTGTCCTAGGTTTTTTAAAAATCTCATTCAATAATACAAGAAGGAGGAAAAACTGGAAATAAAAGGGAAGTCTTTTGTGAGGCTATTCTAAACATTCTGCTCCTCTTCCCCAGAGCTAGCTAGGGTTCTCCACCCCCCCACCCTCCAATGAGTGAATAAAAGGACATTTTTTTCCCCCAGTAGTAAAGGGTGGGATAATAGATGTTGTCCCTAGGCCAATACATTTTCATGGCAATTTTATAAGTTTGATTTGCAAATAATAAAAGGAAATACTGTTTTATGAAGCATATAATCAGCCTATGGAATTCATTATTCCAGGAGGTCATTGGCATGTCTAGACTGCATTTTAAAACTTGTGGCAGAGAATTTCAGGTCCTGGGTCTATAGACTTGGGCTTGCATTAGGGCTTTAAAAACAGCTGTGCAGACCTTTGGGCTTCAGCCCAACCCCAAACATCTATGCAGCTGTTTTTACCGCAGTAGTATGAGACCAGGTCTGTAGACAAGGGCTCTGAGACTTATGCCAGTCTAGACATACCCACTGGGGCCTTGTCTACACTGGGATTTTAGCTGTTGATGCAGTGTAATACAGCTTGAAATTGGGGTGAGCTATCGCAGTGCAGACAGTGTCTGTTGTAGGTTTGTGACCGATGCAGCTACACCAACGGCTAAAATCTCAGCCTAGAAAATACCAGTATTAAGTACTGTGTTTGTATTCAAAGTTGACAGGATAATTTTGTGACTGTCACTTTGGGTTAGTCAAGTTCATGTGATGATATGAAAAAATTTTCATACTTCAGGAGTATAAATGCTTGGTTGCTACACCAACATTTTTTATACCTGAAAGGTTTGAAATGTCATTTAATTCGCAGTATTCATAAAGGAATATCATTTAAGTTGTATAAATGTATCAAAATGTACTTAATTCATCTGTTTTGGGGACTTTCTCTATTGTAGCTGTTTTGATTACACCTTTCCCTAGAAACCTTCCCAGTTCTCTCTCAAAATGCTAACTAGTTTGTTTCTCTAATTGGGTAACATGATCTCCCTCTACATTCTTCCCTAATTGTAACATGACAGCCAATAGAGGCTTTTTCCCCTGCTAAGTCCCTTAATAAAGTACAGGTCTAAGCTAGTTAGGAAATATATCATGGAGAAAAAAGTATTGAGGTGTTAATAAATGTTTTTGATAAATCATCTCTCTCTGTGTCTCCTCTCGTAAAAGCTTTGAATCTAGTCTGATTATTTGATTCTCATATGTATCTCACCCTTCCTTGGGGTAAAAAGGACTTCCACATCAGCAACACCTCTGTTCCAGAGTGCAGTATGGAGATCTGCCTGTGGTCAGGGGAAGGGGTAGTGGCTAGGAAGGGAACCTATCATCTCCTCCACCACGAACAGAGATCAGGAAGGAAAGATTAAAATCTCATTCTGGGTGGGTTTTTGTTGTTGTCAGGATCCCACTTTAAAGGAGAAGGGCTCCTGAGGAAGCTGCCAGCTTCTCCAAGGCCTAACAGTGCAGGTCTGGTGGGTAGAGACAGGGCATACCAGAAGCATGGAATTGGAATGATGAATGACAAATCTTCATGAGAAGAACCTCTGGAGGCTTTCTTCTCTTCCCTGCCAGTGTATTCCATCACAGGAGGGGACAGTTGAGCCTGTAGAATTCCAGAAGCTGAGGGAACTTTTTAAAGGTGAATCAGATCCTAGTGAAATTCCCATCTCTCTGATTTTTTTTTTTTCTGGAGTGAGTGCATCTGTCTATTACAGTGTTCAGAGTTAAATGGATTTTCCAGCACATCACTGATCTGAGACAATTAGTTGATTACATTTCTATTATATTGTGAATATGGAGTACTTAAAGTCCAGGATTTGGAAATGAAGTATTGATGTCCATCAGACCAATAAAGTACTGACTCCTTTTAAAGCTACTTTCTTTTTGTGATCAAATCTGCTGAATGAATATTTGTTGAAATTTTTTGGCTATACTTGTATAGCAGTTATTGTAGTAAGTGTGCTTAATTTTGGTCTATTGTACAGTAACTCCTCGCTTAATGTTATAGTTATTTTCCTGAAAAATGCGACTTTAAGTGAAATGATGTTAAGCGAATCCAATTTCTCCATAAGAATTAATGTAAATAGGGGGGTTAGGTTCCAGGGAAATTTTTTTCACAGTATAAGTTTTAAACAAACAATTTAATACTGTACACAGCAATGATTGTGAAGCTTGGTTGAGGTGGGGAAGTCAGAGGGTGGGATATTTCCCAGGGAATGCCTTACTGCTAAATGATGAACTAGAACTCGGCTGAGCTCTCAAGGGTTAACATGTTGTTGTTAATGTAGCCTCCTGCTCTATAAGGCAGCATAAATGGAGGGAGGGGAGACAACGTGGCAGACAGAGACACATACCCTGTGTGCGTGCATGTGTGAGAGAGAGAGATGCGCATTGCCCCTTTAAGTACGCTGGTAGATTGCCTTTTTAAGTAGACCAGGAAGTTGAGACAGCCGCTGCTGCCAGCATGCTCCCTTCCTCTGTCCTGAGCCCTGTCGTGCCCCCCTGCTCTATGGAAATGGGGTGAACGGGGGGAGGAGGACACCCTGATATTAGCCCCTGCCCCCCACACAGTAAGCAGGAAGCTCCTGGGAGCAGCTCCAAGGCAGAGGGCAGGAGCAGCACATGGTAGTGCAGGGAGGGACAGCTGACCTGCCGGCAATTGATAGCCTGCTGGATGGCTGCCGCACAGGGAACTTAGGAGATTGGGGAGCTGATAGGGGGGCTGCCGGTCCACCCTTGTTCCAAGCCCCCATCAGCTAGCTACAACGGGCTGCTCTTTCAGCAAGTAGTGGACAAAGCAAGCAGCTGCCAAACGACGTTACAAGGGAGCATTGCACAACTTTAAATGAGCATGTTCTCTAATTGATCAGCAACAAAACAGTATTAACCGGGACGACTTTACGTGAGGGGTTACTGTACTTCAAATAAAAAAAATGTGACTTTCACATCTTATATGCTTACTTTCTAGACTTCTTGAACAATCGTTAAAATTCTTGTTAGCAGTTCAGTGTGTAAAGTATTAATTTTATTGTCATCCTACTTGCTCTATCCTCATTTCATATCTTGAACTTCTTACATTTTTAAAAATGTAAAACAATTTTTCCCCAGTTAGGTGCAATACATCAACTCTTTAGAGGTTCAGATAACACAACTGAAATATGTGGACACTTAAAGGACTGCAGAGAAAAGCGCGTATAGCAAGACAGCAAATTGTAATGATCAAAGTATTAGCCTATTATAACTAAGATAATGTTAGATTACATATTTTTCTGAAAGCCTTGAGTGATAAACTTTTGCTTCTTTTCTGTTTCAGCATAAAAGCCGGACATCTCCTCTCATACATTCCATATCAGCTTTACACAAAGCAGTCAAGTGTTCAGAAAGGTCTCAACTTTAATACCATATGCAAACCTGAAGATCCTATGCCAGGTCCTAGCAATATAGCTAAAGAGCTCAACAACAGGGTGTAAGTGTTTCCAGTTTGTTAATACCAACAAAGCTGTTGATCGGTCAGTTATAATCAGTTTAAAATGATAATACTTGTATAGCATTTTATCACTTATCTCAAAGCATTTTACAAAGGAGGTTAAGTGTCATTATCCACATTTTACAGGTGGAAAACCAGAGGCATAGAGATATGAAATAAGTTGTCTAGGGTCCCATAATTGGGACTGGAAGAACCCAGATATCCTATTTTTGAGTCCAGTGCCTTGGCCTCTGTACCACGCTTTTCCATTATGTTTCTACTGTAGGACACAATGAGTATAGCACACAGCTGTATGGAAACAATGTGTGTTGCACACATTAAAAGAATCTGACCAGTGATACTGAAATTAGGTCTTTGGTTTAAAAAGAATAATACATTGAGATAATTATTCCTTTTGGTAAAGGTTATGGAGCAAGTATAAATGAATATAGCTGAAAAAAATAAGTTTAAAATGTTGCAATGCATAACTTGCCTGTGGACATTTTTACATATGAGAATTTAGCAAAACTCAAAGGGAGGACATGTATATGGATAAGGAAAACGAATTATATTCTAAAGGATTTTAAAAATATAAAGAATAAAATTGGAGGGGGAATAAACACTAACGCTTGTAGGTACAAGTTAGTCTCTAACTGATTTGGGAGGGAGTGGGGTTAGGAAGAAATTTCCCCCTATTGGCAGGTTATTCCATAATTGCCCATTTTTGGTGTCTCTTGCAGAATCCTCTGACACATCTGGTATTGGCTGTAGTCTGAGACAGGATATTGGATTAGATGGTCCCCAGGTCAGATTCAGAATAGTAGTTTATATTCCTATATGTCACACAAAAAGTCAGTTAATACTTGTTTTAGTAGATTGTAGACCTAATCCTGCATAACAACTCTCAAGGAGGATTCAGTTTATTATGGAATTGGACCTATAGCTAGTGACAAATGAAAGTGCTCCTACAGTATGTACATTCTAAACATTTCTTTTTTCCTTACATTCATCTGTAGGTGATATTATAGTAACCTAAACCCTAGTTTAATATTACGCTGGTAATAATTTGGGGATGAAAAGAATATTCAGACTTTCATAAATGTCTAACATAACCATTCTGAATTTTAAAACTTACTGTATACTATGACTTTATTAAGTCAGTGCCACTGGGAAACAACAGCTTCCCAAACACACAGTTATTCCAAAATATTGTTGATATGTTTAATGTAGTTTATAATTGCAGTAAGCTTAGATGAATTGTTATCACAGCTAATTATCTTTCTGGTTTTATTTGCATGTCAAGTAGCTAATTACCAATCACTTTTTGAATGTTTGTTTAAATGGCTTTCTGTGGGAGTATATAGGTTTTTATAGACCAAGAATCCACTTAACTCTTAAAGTCTAATTTTAATTGCACTTTTATTCATTGGTATTATTATAGTATTGCTCTTTGAGGTAGAAGTTTTGTCTTCACAGTATCAAGGTAAAAGTAAATAGCTAATGTACCTGTGTTGCTGTTTATTTTTATACATCCATAATATGCAAACAGTTTTGCTTAAAGAAAACAAATCTCCGAAAGCTGTGACTATTTTGAGTTTATAGATCTGGAACAAGTTTTAGCTAGGAGAAAACCAAATGGATTTCAACAAACTATCTATTGTCAAATATGATATCTGTAAATCCAGAGAAAGTTGCCTTACTAATGAGAGAGCATGATTAATGCGGGAGTGATCTTTAACTCTTATATTAGTAATATTATAGCGAATCTGCAAAAGTTTGTGTACAGAAAATACTGACTTTTTGAGGTGAAAGATCATAGTTCAAACTTAGTAATAAAGTCATATAATCTTCTACCTCTAATAACCTACCAGGAGTTTGCATGTGAGCATTCAGAATCCCTAAATTATATATATTTTGTATATGTATATGTAAATACTTAAAATTACTTCTTGATGAACTGTATCTTTGCTTTCTGTAAGATTATTAAATGACATTTTCTTGTCTGTTCTAGAAATTGCATAATAAAAAAGTACGAGACTGAAAATGAGATCAAAGCCAATGGAATCAGTAGCTGGAATGAGGAAGAGAGAGAAGAAAGTGAAGATTTAGGCTTTATGGAGCTGGAGCAGGTCTTTCCTGGGAGGAAACAAAATGGAATTCAGCATCACAGAGACAGCACTGCCATTTTTAATGGACATACTCACAATTCTACCAGTGCCTTACAGACACAGGATTGCGTGGTGCCCTCTGGCAACAGAGTTGCAAACAGGTTCTCTCCAGGCTCTGTGCAGGAGAAGGGGAAGACTGAAAAAGGCATCATTGACTTTAGAGACTGCACTATGCAGCAGTTGCAGGAAAGCAACAAAAACACAGATCTTTTAAAGAACCCACATAGGACTACAAGTAATTCATTCTCATCTTCATCTTTGCACAGTAATACTAAAATAAATGGTGCTCACCACTCCACTGTTCAGGGGCCTTTAAGCACAAAAAGCACTTCTTCAGTACCGACTCATAGCAAGGCCACTCCCTCATCATTGTCCAAACCTTTAGACTGCAGTTTTATTTCTGACTTTTACTCTCGTTCAAGACTGCATCACATATCTACATGGAAGTGTGAATTGACAGAATTTGTCAATACCCTGCAGAGAAAAAACAATGGTGTCTTTCCGGGAAGGGAAAAGTTAAAAAAATTGAAAGCGGGCAGGTCTGCACTTATGATAGCTGACACAGGTAGATACTTGTTTGACAGTTTTACTTAAAAAGGTTCTCTATTCCTTCATTCTTATGATAGGCAGCTGATCAAGATTAAACATGTGAGCTTTCTGTATTCAAAAGTGAGGTTATATGAACAAGCTACTTATGTGATTTTGAAAAATGAAAGTCTGAAGGGCCTTCTTCATTTTTTAATTTTAAAAGCAAATTGGGACTTAATATGAAATTCAGTTGTAAACACAAATCTTTTCTGTAGAATTATTAATTCATTCTTCCAGAGATTTCCAAGCTATTTTGGGTTCTTGAGCATAAACACTTTTATCTATACAAACAAAGGATGGTATTTGTTCTTACATTTTTCTTTGAAAATCTAACTCGCTACTTTTTACAGTTCATACTGAAGATTTCTAAGTTGAGTAGCAGTTGGAAATGATCTATAGTCGAAATGAGAATTTTTTACCAAGACTGATGCATGCTCTTGGATCTTTGTGACCCTTCTTCATCTGATCTGATCTAGAACAAAAATTGGCTCTGTAAGTGTGTTGCAGTGCATGCAGATGCCATACTGAAGGCATTAATGTAAAGAACAAGATGACCAGAATTAATATGTTAAGTATAGTAGTAGCCTAAATATTATTTTGCATCTTATATCTTAGCAATATATTCTTGAACATGCAGAACTATTCTTCCTAATTAACTAAGGATGAAAGGCAGACCATTACTTCTAGTAGAGATTTTTATTTCTTTAAGCTATCAAACTGTCATTATGTATTCCTTTGTTTTCCCTAATTGTATAATATTGAGCAATACTTTTTTAAAAAAACTAAAAAGACAGATGATAGATGAGATAAAATGATTAAATGTTTGAAAACGGCCTTAAAAACCGTTTTTCTTCTCCTCCTTTGCCAATTGACAAATGAAGCAATTCAGTTTTCTTGATCTGAAATACTTTTTCACGATGGAGTGTTAGGTATTGTCCACACTTGGGATTTGCTCCAATTTCAGTGGTTGGTGGCTTGCCACCAGTGTAACTGCACCAGTTCAAATTCTATAAGGTACATGGGGAAATTACTATAAGTGACAATTGATCTGATGGAGCTTATCCCAGCTTCAAGCAGGAGTAAGACGCATCAGTGTAAATTGCCGCTTATAGCTGTTTTGCTTGCCTATGCTAGGGTTTGCACCTGTGTAGGTACACTGATGACTGAAATTCCCATTGTAGAAAAGATTTTAAAATCATTCAACACCTGTGAACAGAGAAGAGATTGTGCAGAGATAATGACTGCTCTGACTTTTGATCAAAAACTGAAGAAGCATTCCATTGCAGATTGAATTTTAGCATGGTGAATATTAAGACTTAATTATTAGTATATATAGTAAACTCCTGGAAACAGACTTATTTTAACAAGGTGAAGAATGTTAATTGTGAGAACATAAAAGGGATAACATGGGGTATGATGCCTCACTTAGTAGACATTACACTGTGTTTTTAAACTTATAGCTACATTTCCACAATGTTGTTATATTGCATTCAATTATATTGTAGTGCATTGAATAGTATAAACTTTATTTTTTCTTTAAAGGCAGTTTAATAGTTGGGTGGAGAAGGTTATAAAAATAACTTTGCTGTATTTGGAAACATCTTATATCAGTCCTTGATGACTAACATGAGTACTGCAAAAATTGTAGATTAGGTTTCAAAATTTCTGTTTGTATTTGTTTATACCAGGTAATGTTTCTGTCTTAAGTTCATCCAAGCATCAGCGCTGTATAATGCACATGGATATGGATTGCTTCTTTGTATCAGTGGGTATTCGAAATAGGCCTGATCTCAAAGGTCAGTTTTCATATATTTTTAAATGTCAAAAATCACTTATACAATATTGAAAATGCACTTGCTAACAACAAGGAAAGTTGATTTGGTGAGTGCTTTTCTTCTAATAACTTTGCCTGATGGTATGAGAACAGTGCTCATATTGCCAGATCATATTGCTCAGTGCTCCAGATACATGTGGAAGAAACAGATACGCAACAGATACATGTGGAAGAAACAGAGTGGAATTCTTATTGCCTCCTTTCCAGCATGTAGTACCAAGGAAAAAAAAAAGAAAATATTTTCCCCACTCTCAGCAGACAAAGGTGTGAAATGGTGAAAACTGGAGGTGCATAACCCTCCAAAACTAGAAATGGGGAGAAAGCTGGGCTGTATCTGAACCCTGTTGGGATGACTTATCTTTTATTATTATTTATTTATTCTTAAGCACAGGTAGGATTACCAGATAGCACTGTGAAAAAACGGGACGGGGTGGGAGGTAATAGACGCCTATATAAGAAAAAGTCCCAAAAACGGGGCATCTGGTCACTCCAAGCATAGGCAACCTGAATTCAGATATTTCCTAATTTATGGGTGCCCGATTTTGCAACCCTTAATGGATTTTTAACATATTTTTTCCTATGTAATTTCCTAGGGAGGCTTTTTTGGGTGGGAGGGCTAAACCTCAAGAACAGAAATTACATATGGAACTGTTTTGAACCTCTCCTGCATGAGTCATCAGCCGGCTTGGAATGCAGAAGTTGTAAATCCACAGCACAGATCACTGATAAACTAAAGGAGTAGCTGTTAGTAATACTATGCAGTTATCTTTTCCAGTGTCTTATGCAACTGTTTGCCAGAGAACAGAGGAATGTTGGGAATCAGAAATCCTGGGGTTAAGTCCTGGCTGTGGAAGGAGAAGTGGTTGCATGGTTACAGACAGAACAGATAATCATACAGATTTGGCACAAGCATTCTGAAAGGCAGCGTGGATACCAAATGTGATTTTGTTGTTGTTGTTTTTTTTTTAACCCCATCTGTAAATAGTGAGAATTATGCTTGCCTGTCTTCTAAGGTAAGCAGTATGTGGCCTTTTGCTCATTAAGGGCTGTCAAGTGGAAAAGGAAAGAATAGAACTCATTGTCTCCTTGGTCCTACTCAGTACATTTTCCTGTAGGCCAAAAGACATTCTACTGCAGTGCCTGTCCAGACCTTTTGCTATGGGGTCTGGGAGAAAGTGCATACAGAGGGACATTGAGGCAAGGGAGCATGCTCAATGCAGATGGAATGTTCAGAGATTTTACCAGTTAGCTCTACTGTGAAAATGGCAAATTTCATAAGTTTATAAGTCTGCCAGATCTGGATGTATTTTCATAGGGACGCAGGTGCCTCTCTGACACCAGGGCTATCTCCCTGCCAAATTTCAAATCTCTGTTCCAGGTTCTGGAGAGAGGGGCTAGAGCTTCTAACATTTTTATTTATTTATTTTTCTGTTTATTAATAAATAAATAAAATTAAAAATAGATTTGCAAACATAAAAAATACATTCTGTTCTTTAAACCTGTTCATGGAAGTGATTGCACTGTTTGTGCTGAAGTGTTCCAAAAAAAATCAGCCCAAAAGAGACAACAAGCATGGAAAAGTTCAGAGGTGATTAAAATGAGGAAAGGTTAGGCCAGAATGGTCAGAGGTTAGACCTGGTCTAAACATACAGTTATGACTGGCTTAACTAGTCTTTCACCATTTTAGTTAAACTGTTACACCTTTGTGTGTGGACTGTTTTATACCAGTTTAAACCTGGTTTACATTAGCTTACTTTAGTTAAGTGACAAGGGCAAGGTAAACTGATTAAGATGGCAATGCATAGAGGTTGCAATGGTTCAACTAAATTGGTACAATATAAGATGTCTAGTTAAACTGTGGATCTTCTGTTTAGGTAAGTCTTTATACACAAACTAGCATAGCTGGATTTTTAGTATTTGTTTCAAAAGATTTCTCTATTTTTTTTTCTCCTTTTGACATGAGATTGCAACCAGGTAACTAAACTATTGTTTCTAATGCAAGTCACTTCCTTAACTGCTGCTTCCTTAATGCCAGAAGATTAGATAACCCTGAAAGAATGGTGTTGAAAGAAGTGAACAAAATTAAAGAAAAGTAAACATTGTCAGAAACTTTGCCTTGGTGTGCTATTACTGTAAATGTTTATTATATACTGACTTTAATTAATTATTCTTCACAGGAAAACCAGTGGCTGTTACAAGCAACAGAGGTGCTGGAAGGGCACCACTTCGCCCTGGTGCAAACCCACAGCTGGAATGGCAGTATTACCAGAATAAGATATTGAATGGCAAAGCAGGTACAAAAATGAGTCTGATTTTAAAATCACAGTGCTGATGAAGAATCTCTCATTAAAGTAATAAAAAATTAAGGATAAATACTTTTCATTGAGTTGACTTTAGAGAGATTAATTTTTGACAGGATAGTGGTCTCTGGCAATATAAATTGCTTCTGTAATAGTTTGCCATCATTACATTCTGCTAATTAATTTTGTTGAGAATGCAGATATATTTTAGGGTAGTTTATTTTTTTATTTCCTTTTTGGTTAGGGATGGGAATAAAGTATACTGCTTCTGTAAATGTGTATGTCCTGTTTGAATAATAAGATAAACATAGACCATCTGTGATCACTTGCACCTGAGTAACACTATATCACAGAGGAGCCAGTACAAAATATCAAAAGTTAAGGTTGCTAAAAGGACTTATTAGAAAGCAGAGGCGAACTGTAGAAACAGCAGCATGTGACCAATGAGAAACTGGCTCTTAAATATAGTTGTATATTTGAGCTATATATGTCTGAACCTGTAGACTTAATGTAGCTTCCTTTTAGAATATTTCAGTTGCTGGAAAGCCCCTGAAGAATTCAATGAATTCTGTCCTCACTATAAAGATTGTTCCCTCAAAAGACAGGCATTTGTTATTGATTATTAAAGAATTTCTCATTCTCCCACAGTACTTTAGAAACTCTTTTTATTACTTTTTGTGTTCTGAAGTAGCAATATACAAGTATCAACCATAAATTACTGTTAAGACAGCATTTAAGACTAGGTGTGTTTATACAATCTGAAGTATGTTTAGTGTGGGGAAAAAAGTGACACACTAAAAATAAATAGCTTGTTTTATATTTATTCTCCCCGTTATTTTATTATTTTTTTCTCAGTTTAGAAGTCTAAAGAGATTTCTAACCGCTACCATTTAATTTCAGCTTGATTTCTGGAAATCAGATTGTTTTTCACTTCTTACTCCAGCAGCAGAATCAACAAATAGTGTTGGATTAGAATTTATACCGCAGTTAGTAATTTTGTTGATGTGCAAGATAGAATAGAATCGTTTGATCTTCCACAACTATGTTGTTTCTGTAGTATTAACAGAAAAAAGTTGGCTTTGTCAATAAATTAAGCAGATCTTGGAAGAAAAATGGAAAGCAGATATCTACCATAATAGGTGCCCTTTGTTGTTTTGCAATAGCATAATCACAGTTTAAAACAGGAAGAAAGTAATAAATGTAGACCCCATTGTCACTCCACCTTTTCTTAGTGCCTTTTAGGATGTTCAAACTTAATCTAATTGATTCATAGTTCCATGTATAAGACTGAGTGGTTTATATTAAGGGCAGTTATTGTTTATAGGGATTCAGCCTTGTTGTGCTATAGTTTGTCAGTGAACAGTTGGTAGCACAGTTCTAAATATAGGCACTCTATAACATTTTCCAGGTCAATGTGTTTTGATAAGAAGGTCATTTGTTACAATTTAGAAATGTCTTGGAAAGCTAGCTAGTTAGATAAAATTGAGGAAGATTAGCGAAGAATAACATATTGTGTGTGATACACAAATTTAACAGTATCTCTTCTATGATATTCAGTGTTCAAGGTTTCACTGGGGCTCAAGTTCAGTATGTTACAAACTCATGGTTCTTTATTGCAGCAGCTTTTTCTGGAAGTGCACACATTCAGTCCTTTTACTTCAGCATCCTCCCTTACTGGCAGGCAAGCAGCTTTCTTTCTTTCTTAATGCACAGCCTGACTGTACAACCTGTAGTTTGCCAAAAGGGGTTTTTTTGTTTGTTTGTTTTTGTTTTTCCCCCTCCCTGGCACTCTTTTTAAAGTATGTATCTTATTAACTACAGGTTCATTACATTTTTTAAGTCTCTTTTTATTAATTTTTTCTCAACATACCAAACTTATATCAAGAGAGACTATTATGGATTTTCATAAAAACGTATCAGATTGTCTTCTTGAGGAGAACAAAATGAATTTAGTGATTGAGCATTACTTTGTAGCATTAATTGAAAAGGTGGTACTGTGAATTGCATAGGCCACTCTAACTTTGCTACATCCTAGATAGTGTACATGAAGCACTTCACAGCAGGAACAAACTATGCTGTGCACTGCATGTAAATATGGTCCAGTAGGCACATGGGGTCATGTGAAACAAACTTAAATCTATTTTATAAAGATATCAAAAACCCAAAAGGCCAAATTGTGCTCTGTTAAACATGTGCAACCTGTTGGGGATATACTTGTGTAAATGAGAAGAAAATTGGACCTGAGTATTTTTTATTTAAATTCATTTTTACACTGAGTCTCCAGTATAAGAGTAAACTTCATTTGTTTGATGCCTCATGCTGTCCAAACTGTTCTCTGATCTTGCCTTCTCAAGAACTTGCTTATTAGAAATAATGTTCCAAATTGAAAAAAATAAATACATAAATCTGTGACTCACTTAGTTTGACCAGGTACAGATTCCTTCAGCTTCAACTACTGCTTTTGCCAATTGCTTCTTCAGTGATACTGGTTCCTGCTTTTTGGTCTGGATTGCTGGACAAATATCTAGGAACAGTAGAATCTTGGATCCTTTATGAAATACTTCTTTTTTCTTTTTTTGGATTCATCCAAAACTATATAACTTTTAAATTTAAAATTTGTTGTCTTTCTCACCCTGTATGTCCAATTTGGAGCAGCTTCCTGAGTGGTAGAAATTACACTCTGTTGATATCTTCTTTAACATTGATGTCTGAAAACTAAGGAATTAGTGTACACACGCAATTCAGAGGTTGGGGTCTCTTTTCCTAGCCAGGATGTCCAAGACGTGGATGTTTTTAGTCTCTTTCCCTCCACTCCAGTATCTCCAATTTTCATTCTAAAGAGCTGCAGTTTTAACTACTATATTACTCACAGATTTATTCTCAGCGATTTCTTTTTCACAGACTTGGGGTCCTGGCCTCTGATTTCTCCATTTGTTGCTCCACATTCACCATGCACTTGTCTAGTTTCCCAACTTTTGATGAGAGATTCTCTACCTTGCCTTCCAGTGAGGACAATGTGTTCTGCATTGCCCGGAATTTCACATGAAGTGACTCCATCAGCTCATGGGGGGATCTGCTCTGCTACGCTGTGGAAAAGGTCGGCGAGCCCAGTGAAGATAGACAAGATGACAACAACATCTCAGGCCAGGGCACAGGAAGGCACAGACTAAATACGTTGTTCTTGTCATTCTTATCTTTTTTGGGCCATAATTTTGCTCTTCATAAATTTGCAACTTCTGACATCTTAGGTAACTTATTGAGCCCATCAAACATTAAAACAAATTTTTAAGAAATAAAAAGACAAGTAGACTAGCAGAAGTTCTGTAGAAAGGCAGATGCCCACATGAGTCAGATTCTGCCCCCCATTACAACACTTTCTTTGGTCTGATAACCACCTTTATGTGGAGATAGCAACATACTTCTTTTCAAACTAAAAATGTTAATCTGTAAGTTGTTGTTGCCATACTGTATTATTGGGCAGTGTGGCACTGTGCAGCTATAACTTGTATGTTGCATTATATTACAAAGGTGTATTGTATTAAATAGACTGCAATAATGAAAACCAAATATAAGTTGTATATTATACTTTTCCTTTAAAGCAAGCAGTAGCTTTTTGTCCTTTTGAGATTTCACCATTTAGAGTTCAGTTCTTGATTTGATTTCAGAGCTTTGGGTTTTTTGCAGCTACTCAATTTTTCTGGCTGACCTACAATTAAGAGTCAGTGTGCATATCTAGAGATACTTAGATACCATGTTGATGTGCAGAGAATAAGAATCTGAACAGAATAGAATAGCGAATGCTTTACTTTATCCCAGTTTGCTGCATCTCTCTACCATACATTTCTGCATATGTATGTAGTACTCAGTTGGCTTGAATGATTCTTAAGTCTTTTTGCCTTCGCTCATTCAAAGTAGGTTTTATAGAATTAGCTAAAGATCTGTGTCATCCTTTTCTTTAATAGTCTGAGATTGGAGTATTTAGTGTTGCATAATTTTGGTCCAGCGGAAGTTTGGAATGATATACTAAATCAGGTGCTTTTGAATCCCAGTAAGGGAGTCATCAGAGGCCAGTAACTGAAACTTTGTCTATGAATTTAACAATGAAGCTGAAAGTTGTGAAGGACATATAAGTATCCAGCAAGGCTTACATGTTTTGCTTATTTCCTGATCTGAAAATATTCTTGGTATTTCATTTACCTTTTAAAATTCTGATTTGAAGTGTCTAAATTAAGTTACTTGATGTTTAGATTAAGTAATTACTAGAAAGTAGAGATGTCAGTACTAGGCTACAAGGAGGCTGAGCTGTAGAATTGCATTAGGAGATGAAATTCTATATTCTTGTACTTTTTTTTAAAATGGGTGTAACTATGACATTTCTTTTGTTCAGACAAATGGTTGATAAGCTCTGAGTGTCTTGCATTTAGTTTATAGGTTGTAGCTTAAAGAAACTCAGTAGTTTGGCAATTAAATATTTTTTTACAACCACGTTGGGTATTAACGGCTCTCTCAACTCACAGTATTATTATAGTCTGAATTGTATTGGCCACTAGCCATCTACAAGTTGGTCTCGGATAATGTGAAAAAAGAAAGTACCCCTCTATCCCGATATAACGCGACCTGATATAACATGAATTCGGATATAACGCGGTAAAGCAGCGCTCCGGGGGGGGCGGATCAAAGCAAGTTCTATAGAACGCAGTTTCACCTATAACGCAGTAAGATTTTTTGGCTCCCGAGGACAGCGTTATATCGGGGTAGAGGTGTATAGTTATTCTTCAGTAGCATCCTGTTTTACTGTCCTCCAGAGATCAACCCCATAGATGGGTGTTAATATATGGGTAAGTTCTTTGTTGACCTAATCAGTTATTGGATGATGTGAACCAATATATTGTGAAGAAATTTCTCATCATAAAATATGAGCACAGAAACTGCTGAAAAAATTTCAGTTGTAATCCATTGATTATTTGTGAATTAAATAAGTCTTTTGAACCATTAAGACAATAATGTAAGAACAAAATATAAAATATTATTTTCCAAGCAGAAAATAGAATTCCTGATAAACTGGACTCATCAATCGGAGAGAATCCAGATTCTGCTGAGATGAATGGAGCTGACTTGGATATCACTGGTTTGTCAATGGCTGAAATTGCATCTTGTAGTTATGAAGCCAGGTAGGTAGAAATTATTTGTCATGTTGATTGTAAAGTTCTGTCATACAGTGCTCACAGATAGCAGGCAAAATATCTATTTACATTGGGTGAATGTAAGCAAACATGGAACACTTAGTCTTTGTTTCAGAAATTACATTTAAATAAATTATGCTAGGTACCAGCACAAGAAGGGAAAATGTGTTTGCTCTCCCTTTTTACTTTAATACCATGTTTCAAGCTGTGATCTAATCAGTTCTCACAAGCTAAGCATATTTCAGTTGGGCCAAGGCCACTAAAGAAAATCTGAGGTTCCATACACAGTGGTATTATTGATTTAATAGGTGACATCCTTCTCTCTGAAACTGAACCAATGTTTTTGCCTGGCATTAGGAACGTTGTACTATTGGAGGTCAGGCATTAAAATTAAAGTCCTGATCACTTCTGATCACTAAATCTAATGGTACTTTTTGCACAAATTGTGTGCTGAATTACCCAGATAGCCTGGGCAAGAGGGGAACATCCAATGCCTACAATAACTTGTTTTAAATATAGTCTCAAAGATATATATTATATTGATTTTAGGGCTGTCAAGTGATTAAAAAAATTAATCTGGATTAATCACACTGTTAAATAGTAATAGAGTAACATTTATTTAAATATTTTTGGATATTTTCTACATTTTCTAATATATTGATTTCAATTACAATACAATAGAAAGTGTACAGTGCTCACTTTATATTATTATTTTATTACAAATATTTGCACTGTAAAAAACAAAAGAAATAGTATTTTTCAATTGACCTAATACATGTACCGTAGAGCAATCTCTTTATCCTGAAAGCTGAACTCACAAATGTAGAATTATGTACAAAAAAAGCATTCAAAAATAAAACAGTGCAAAACTTTAGAGCCCACATGTCCACTCTGTCCTACTTCTTGTTCAGCCAGTCGCTCAGACAAACAAGTTGGTTTACATTTGCAGGAGATAATGCTGCCCGCTTCTTGTTTACAATGTCACCTGAAAGTGAGAACACGCATTTGCATGGCACTGTTGTAGCTGGCGTTGCAAGATATTTGTGTGCCATATGTGCTAAAGCTTCATATTTCGCTTCATGCTTCAACCACCATTCCAGAGGACATGCATTCATGCTGATGACTGGTTCTGCTCGAAAACGATCCAACGATTGGAAGGCACTTCAGATTCTTAAACCTTGGGTCAGGTGCTGTAGCTATCTTTAGAAATCTCACATTGGTACCACCTTTGTGTTTTGTCAAATCTGCAGTGAAAGTGTTCTTAAAACGAACAACGTGCAGAGTCATCTGAGACGGCTAAAACATGAAATGTATGGCAGAATGCAGGTAAAACAGAGCAGGGGACATACAGTTCTCCCCCAAGGAGTTCAGTCACAAATTTTAATTAATACTCTTTTTTTTTTTTTAAACGAGCATGATCAGCATGGAAGCATGTCCTCTGGAATAGTGGCCAAAGCATGAAGGTGCATACGAATGTTTAGCATATTTGGCATGTAAATACCTTGCAATGCTGGCTACAAAAATGGCATGTGTATGCCTATTCTCACTTTCAGGTGACATTGTAAATAAGAAGCGGGCAGCATTATCTCCCAGAAATGTAAACAAACTTATTTGTCTTAGCGGTTGGCTGAACAAGAAGTAGGACTGAGTGGACTTGTATGCGCTAAAGTTTTACATTGTTTTGAGTATAGTTATGTAACAAAAAAATATATACATTTGGAAGTCGCACTTTTATGATGAAGAGATTGCACTATAGTACTTGTATGAGGTGAACTTTTACAGTGCAAATATTTGTAATAAAAAACAATATAAAGGGAGTACACTTGTACACTTTGTATTCTGTGTTGTAATTGAAATCAGTATATTTGAAAATGTAGAAAACGTCCAAAAATATTTAATAAATTTCAATTGGTATTCTATTGTTTAACAGTGCGATTAATCACCATTAATTTTTTTGAGTTAATTGCATGAGTTAACTGCGATTAATCGACATCCCTAATTGGTTTCTAGTGCAAATTACACCCTCGCATTTATCATCACCATGGATAGAGTATTTTATGGCAGATGAGCTGCTTTTTTTTTTTATGGCTTGGTTTTGCAAAAAATTGTGCCATTATAATAAAATAAACCACGTTGATTCGCCTTCCTTCTCCATGCTCTGGCAGAGT